GTTTACAGCTGGACTATATCTGTGATGGGTTAATTTTAGATCAGTTCTTAATAATCGAACGATATAGGTCTCATATTCATTGGATAAATATAAAATATGCTTTTTGAATTTCTTTAAAGCACAACAGTAAAGGTCTATCAAGTGTTGGCTTGCAGGGATTTGATTGGTTACAGGTCTGATCACCAGCTGACATCAGTTGGAGAACAGTTAGAAAACCAGGAAGTACTGGACAGCTGTCTCGTCCTAGTTTGGGACTGGATGGGAGCGTACGACTACCAAAATACGGCTTATCGATATGCAACAAGCAGCTGAATAGCAGCCATATCAATGAGTAGTACTAAGAAAGGATTTCAACTGGTATATGAATGATATATCAATGAGATGCTCACCAGCGACTTGCCCTATTCAGGTAGATAGGTACCTGGGGTTCTAGTGAGAAGTCGTGACCAGTAGGGTGCAGCAGGTAGGGTGTAAGGACGAATACTCGCCGAAGACATTGGCTAGGGGTCGCGCTAAATCTTGAATTGGCAGTAGTTAGGATTCATGGGCCGTTAGATCTGGTCCTGGTGGGCTAATGGTCAACGAGCTCGCCTTGTAACCAGAAGGTCCTGGGTTCGCATCCCGGTGGGTGCGCACTGCCGAAGATTCCCAAACTAGGACGAAACAGCTACCCAGTACTCCCAGGTTTACCAGTGGTTCTCTAACTAATGTCAGATCATGATGAAATCCTGTAACCAATCAAATCCCTACAAACCAACACTTAAAATTCTAAGTTATTTAAATAAAATTCTGATTTAAAGAATTCCTTTTCAAAATCTAGGATGAAACAGCAGCTGTCCAGTACTCCTTGGTTTTCAATGGTTCTCTAGCTGATATCAGTCCGTGATCAACTCGTAAAACATAACTAATCCTTACAAACCAAACTATAGATAATTATTCTGATGCTCGCTAGTGACTTGCTACAGGTTGGAGCTTCCTGCAGTTCTAGTGAGAAGTCGTGACCAGTGAGGTCCAATTAGAAGTCACGAGTGGATGGATTTCCACCAACGACAATAGTTGGGGTGGCGCTAAAATCACGAATTGGTAGAATTTAGAATTCATGAGCCATTGAATCGGGTCCCAGTGGCTGAATGGTATACGAGCTTGCCTTGTAACCAGAAGGTCCTGGGTTCGCATCCCGGTGGGTGCGCACTGCCGAAGATTCCCAAACTAGGACGAAACAGCTACCCAGTACTCCCAGGTTTACCAGTGGTTCTCTAACTAATGTCAGATCATGATGAAATCCTGTAACCAATCAAATCCCTACAAACCAACACTTAAAATTCTAAGTTATTTAAATAAAATTCTGATTTAAAGAATTCCTTTTCAAAATCTAGGATGAAACAGCAGCTGTCCAGTACTCCTTGGTTTTCAATGGTTCTCTAGCTGATATCAGTCCGTGATCAACTCGTAAAACATAACTAATCCTTACAAACCAAACTATAGATAATTATTCTGATGCTCGCTAGTGACTTGCTACAGGTTGGAGCTTCCTGCAGTTCTAGTGAGAAGTCGTGACCAGTGAGGTCCAATTAGAAGTCACGAGTGGATGGATTTCCACCAACGACAATAGTTGGGGTGGCGCTAAAATCACGAATTGGTAGAATTTAGAATTCATGAGCCATTGAATCGGGTCCCAGTGGCTGAATGGTATACGAGCTTGCCTTGTAACCGGAAGGTCCTGGGTTCGAATCCCAGTGGGTGCGTACTGCCGATGATTCCCAAAACTAGGATGAAACAGCAGCTGTCCAGTACTCCTTGGTTTTCAATGGTTCTCTAGCTGATATCAGTCCGTGATCAACTCGTAAAACATAACTAATCCTTAAAAATCTACTTTATTAAAATGTGTATGAGTTGTGTTTTTGAAAATCCTAACTTCCTTATTATACCTCCTAATCATTTGCAGCTTATTCTGTCTTCCTGTAAACTATGCGCTGTGGAATCATTAAAATGATATAGCTATCTTACTTAATTATACTTTAAGCATAAGGTCTCCAGTTATTAATTTCAGTTCAAAGAAAACTGAAATACACATGCTACAATTAATTCGCATAGTGAGAAAGCAGTTATGATATGTGGATCTGACGTAGTCTCATAATTTCTGTGTTAGCCGACGTACCCATACAAGACACATTGGACAAATTACAGGATTTCAAATCAATCCGCTACGTAATTATCTGTCAAGAAACTTCTGATTTATTACTGTTGTCGGGAAACTTATTTATGCCTAACTTTTAATTTCATTATTGTATTCATCACCAAATAGCATCAGTTACAGAATCAGTGAGAACCAGGGAATGCTGAATAACTTGGCCACATAGTCTGAAGGTACTTAGTTCGATCCCCAGTGAGGTTATGGATGCGCAGCACTCAAGAATCCCGAACTAGGACGAAATAGCGAACCACTTCATGGTTTTCAGTGATTCTCCGACTGATTTTGGTTCTCCACTAAATCTACACTGAAATTAAAGCACATAATCTAGTTTTCAGTATTTTTTCACAATCAAAATAGCCTGCAAGGATTATTTTTTCAACTGTCTGTTTGAAGAACCAGTGTTGATGCTTTTCCTTTCTGTCCTCTGTTATTTTTTTAGGTTCAACTCTGTACTACTTACCACTTGTTAGTAGTACGAGTTATATTTGTTACTTAATAACCATGACTTGTTCGCTGTTAGACTTTAATATTGCAAAAATATTCATTCAGACATATATAAAACACAAAATAATCGAGCAAAGAATATTCTTTTCGATAAATTCCTCTTCCAGGCTCTACAATTATATACATTCATTTACACAGAATATTTTAAATTAGTAGTTAGTAAAAATATTAGCGTTTTTTAAAATAATATCGATTTGTAAAGTATGGTCAATGCTATTGCAGTTCATTAAAGATGCTTAAATTATAATAATAATAAAGATATAACAGCGAATAGAATATCAACTAAAATTAGGGAAATTTCACAAAAATTCTGGATTATTCAAACCTGGATGGCCAAGGTAATGATAATGACTGAACTAACTTCTTTTGGGTGCATAAATTAGGCTTATTAATATGAATCCCCACAGCCTCAGCAATATTTAGAAGTCGAACTCTTAAAGCGAAATTGAGATTCGTAGGTATGCGGTAAATGACCCTGAAAGCATGATTAACGTCAATCTTGTGTTCTGTCTCCACAAGATGCGCCAGAATAGCGCTGCGAATAGATTTTGTTTGACCTTTGCTTAACCAGGCAGGGTGATGTTCGGAAATTCGACGAGAAACATGCCTAATTGTACGGCCTATGTAACTGGCTCCACAGGAGCACTCTATTTGATGTACAGTAACTATTCTCTTATTGTTAAACATCAACTGCTGTATTTACTTTATTTATATACCCCTTTCTGCTGAACATTATTTATTCAAATCCCCGTATTCTTCGTTTGAAATTCGCGCACTGTTAAGTCTACACGTGGATCGCTTTTCACAGTTTTGCTATTTTTTCTTAATAATGCAGAGTGATTGTACATTTGACGTCAATCAGCCACAGACGCCTCACAATTTATGGTTTGTATATTATATTTTATTATTTTATGTATAATATAGTGCCGTATTCTACAGTATATAATATATGGAGAATTATCATCTATTTGCGAATCATATCCTATATTCTGAATCCAAAAAGGGTACGTTTTAAAATAACTAGAATCCGAGTAAATAGAATTGTCTAAACACATTTTCCATTATTTGACCAGATTTGGATAAATCAAGATAGTGTCCTACAGAACAGTTCAGATATCACAAATCCCAGGTAATAAGAAATAAAAATAATATTCAATCTTTATTTTATTAATTAATATATTATGGAAGAAAAGGAATTATTTTAAAATAGAATAATTAAGTCTTTATTTATATTCCAGTTGCTTCTTCAAAGATGGATACCTGAAAAATATGATGAGGAGAATTTTAATATACACTGAATTATTAATTCAGTCTTTAATTTCAATAATAAACGATAGACACTATCCAGTCTGACATTGTGGAGTCATCAAACGAATACCTGAGAGTCTTAGCTTTTCAGAATTCTTGATTTTTTGTGATCATATAGAGAACGAATTATTGTATTCAGTCTATGATTGCTTCTTCAGTAACTGTTACTAAGAGTTGATACAGGCAACTGAACAATAGCTGACTAAAATGTCTCAAAAGACTATATGGTCCTGATGAGTTCTGTATAACAGGAAGAATCCATCATCAATAAGGAGGTTAAGCACATGGCTGTTAACTGCATCAGACAGAAGCATATTACTATTATTATCTCATGTTTCATAACCTATAATATGGTGATTAAAACAAATAATGGAAATCCAATATGTCTGACTACATAATTCAGGTGAGAAGACGCTTTACGTCTTTGGAATATCACGATTATTGTGCCATACCTTGATCCAACCTTGCATTTTTGTAGTGCTACTGTGACAAAGGACTATCTTGAGCTTACAGGCAGTAGTATTGAGGAGTCTTCAAATAAGATCTAAGCGTTTTCGACAACATTTATGTTTTCACAGATCTTTTAGCTGATTTTGATGTATGGTGGGAAAAACTATCAACACCCGACCCAGTTGTTTATCGTGTCAAGAATGTTTGTTTTAGTAGGCGGCAATGTCGGCCATCTGAGAAAATAATATATTAGCGAATAACTGTACGTTCTAAATACATCACAGCATATTTAAGATGCATAGCTTTGTCTGACAGTAAAAACTTTAAACCATTCACGTTTGATAATTTAGCAGAAGTGGAGCGAGAGCAGCAACTTTTACACGTCCATTATGAGAACATCAGGCTAAACACTGAAGTGGTATGCAAAAGTGTTTACAACTACTTAAAGTGAAATATATTCATCAGATTTATCTGCTTATTAAATGAAACTTACAACTTCTTATTTTCCATGTTAGTAGAATGACGCGTGATGATTTATGATGTTAAAATGTCTGATCAAGGTTCTGCGACACTGAAAGTGCATTAAAAACAATTAGATGAATGGCAATTAACTGAATTGGTATTTATGTATGCTGAATTAAAATGAATTCGACCGAGGTTTGATTGAAGTTAAATGTTGTATGTATAGTAATTGAATCATTCCTAACAGCATTATAATACTGAAGATGATATAATGACGAAAGATGTAACTGATACTGTGACAACTTTTCAAAGCTTTACAATGATACACATTATTATTATTATGACAAATTTCACACTTTATTTGATGTAGAACAGTTTGTAGAACTGGAATTGCTAAATACATCAATTTCATTAGCAGTGGAATCATGTAAAGTGCAAACAATTGCAGGTGAGATAAATTATCTCGTTTGGATTTCGACTTTCCCTCCTTTAAGAACCAAGATACAAGGTGTTACATTAGAAATAATATAAAAATGTGATCGCATTTTTATTTATATAAGCAGAGGTTTAGTTTGAGAGAAGGTATTATTATTACTTTAACGGAACAATTTTTTAGAAAGTTCCTCCTGAACAATCTGTTTACAGTATTGAAAATTATTTGGATATTTTAACTACCTTTGTAACTATTTTCCTCTTTTATCCTAGGCTATATACCATTGCTCTGACTTAATCCTTATTATCTGTCTTTGTTCTTGTTTAATCCTTAATTCGAATGCTTCCCTCTGCGGTTGTGTGATGATATCGATAATATGTTGTCTTACGATTGTGAATTTGTTTGAATGAAGTCAAGGTTTGCGGTGGGGATTTTGACCTTAAACTCTCTAAAGGAAGTTTCTGTTGCGTGATTCTCGCTGACAGAACTTCGATCCCAACTTATTAGGAATATTCTAGTTGATTCTCAGGTACTTCTTATGGTTGATTCTGGTTAACTAGTTTTTTGTACAGTACTTGTTTTGTACTGGAGGAACTCTAACTGTATAGCTGCCTAACGGCATTGTTGAAGTAATTTTGAGTTTTGATAGGTTATTACTGTTACTGAATAGTACCACAGATTTCACCGTAAATAACTGTCATTTTTCTGTCGTTGGGACACCGTGAGGCTGTGCGCAACTTAGGAAGTATTGGTTAGCTATACAATAGAACGCAACGACTAGTTTCCAGCATTCAGACTGCAACAAGTAGGTTCTGATCGCTGAAATTACTTTGATTGACTTGTGGTAATTATTATCATAAACCATCTAAATATTACACATTCCTAAGTCTCTTGTCGTTGGAGAAAAGCATTTTTCAAGCTAGATGCTGTGACAAACCATCTACTTCAAACAGACCTATTTAATTTTAAATTGTAAAAGGGAGTTTCTTTATTACTTCACATTCCCAGTGGAACATAAGGCTTCAAGCTGGAGGCTTGAAGTTTCGGTCGCAATGGTGTTTATTTTTACGGGATGGGATTGCTAGCTTCATGCCCGACCTTGCCTCTTTACCAGTCTTATTAATGGCTTAGCAAGGTATAGGAGTGCGTCGGCCGGGGATTGAACCTCGAACCACATGTTCGGTTGGCGAGCATTCTACCTCTGCGCCACTGACGTACCATGCAGGTGTTAACATTTAATATTTATAAATACTGTCTCTTAATATACTGTAAGATAATACTTTTAAACACACATCTGTGGAGGCAGTGGACGCTGAATGGCAGGAATTTCAGTACACCTTGTAAAATATACTACATCTAAACAAGTTTTCACATTTGGATACTGAAAATTTATTGAAATTACTGAAATTCTTAATACTGACCTAATTGATACTGTAGTCCGTAAAATTTGCGGTTCGGCTGGTGACAAGTTCTTGCTTGAAACAGTCTTTATGCTTTATAGTATTCATCAAGTAAGGGAATCTGCAACCTCGACAGAATTTATGCTTCTTCATAAACTCTATCTTGTTTTAACTAATGTTTAAGTTGGAGACTTTGTAACTACTTATTAATAATCGATACCAATCAGCATTTGCTTATAATTTGAACACTTTCAGAATACATATATATAAGTATAAATACATGTAAAGATATATTTTAAATGAATTTACAATACTTACCTTATCAGCCTCCGGGTTAATTTGTTCACAAATAAAGTTAATGATGGAAATCAATACATCTGTGTACTTTGAATTTACCAACCATGATTGAATAGTGGAAGCATAGTCTTTAATATTGTGACTCTTATCCATGTCTAAATGGTACGTATTGGAGAAGAAACAAATGATTAATGGTGAGGAAATATAAAAGTAAGCTTTCCAAAACAGAAGGAAATCTATCGAATAGAATAGATGCGGTGGCCTGCTTAAAGCTGGGGCCACCAGAAACCTCCATTATTATGTTATACATAATATCTCTTGTTCTTTTTGTTTTAATCTATTACAATATAACCTTTAGCGGTGTTGTTTACTCGCGCGAATATTTAAAATATTTGCAATCTGATGATTCGTAAGTTCCTAGTAAACTTGAGAAATAGCATAGTCGGGGATGGCAAAATATCCCAATAGGTGACATAACTGTTCCTGAGATTTTTAGTACAAGCTACCACCCACTGCATGAGAAATAAAGCCAGCTACCTGAAGACTTTAATTATTCAGTTATATCCTTTAGTCTCGAAATGTACTCCTGTACTTTTCTTAATTGGCCCTCGACTGGATTTCGTGAATTTTTCGAAGGCGTCAAAGAAGAAATATCATAAGGGATTGGTTTTCGTTTCAGGTGATACGGCATTATGTCATCCAATTTATTGTCAATTACTACTCTAATTAAAGATCATGGACGGAGAGAAACTATTATGCAGTAAATTCCACTGAAAACCTGTACGTTATATGAACACTTTTCAGAATAAGGCTGTTTTATTATTATTCTGAATGTTCCGAGTCTTTTAAATTACAGGAAGACATTCAACCTAAGGTAATACCTTCAGTAAATTACTCACAAGAATCAATCATATTCAAGGATAAAATGAAAGTGAGGATTGTTTTAGTGACAAAGCTGCTGAAAGTTCACTCATTATAAATTTATTTGACTTAAGGTATTACCAGTTCTACCAAGTGGACAGCTGGAAATCGGGTGGTTTGAACTGATTCGGCTGTCTAGTCTGAATCAAATCTGGTACACTGTTGATGAGGTCGGCACAAAGCGAGAGAAAAATATCATTCGGTGTTTGGATTACTTCAATGCGACTAGCCAGCAGGAATGGTACGTGTGAGTTTTATACAGAGTTTTTTTGAACGAAATAATCAAAATATTGTTGTATGAATCACAGCAATATGTGAATCTAATTTTTCACGAAATCCTAATCACTTATTCGCCGTAAATGCTGTAGGCTAGCCGGAAAAATTGAACTCCTGATAATGCTTTTGGTATATAGTCAAATTCGAGAACTGTGTTCAGTTGAATTCAAGATTCCTTAGTGAAATGTATTTTCATCTTGATGCCGGGCTGTTTTACACCTGAACTAGATGTTTGTATTTGGCTATTTAAATGAAACCTAGAAGGAAGTAGACGTAGACGTGATATCCGGCTGGCTATCAACCAAAGGACATGTGTACTGCTTAGCAGTCCGCTCCGTCCTCCTTTATGGCTGTGAGACCTGGCCATTGAGAGTGGAAGACATGAAAAGATTAGCTGTCTTCGATCATAGGTGCCTGCGTTCTATCTCCCATGTGAAGTGGTATAATAAGGTGAGCAATATTGAGGTTAGGCGTCGAGTGCTAGGTAAGGAGGGGGAAATCAATCGACGAGGCTGTGAAGTTACACCGATTGAGATGGTTAGGACATGTGTTACGTATGCCTACACATCGCCTTCCTCGATGGGCAATTTAAGCTGACACAGATTGGATCAGGCTGGAAAAGAGCTAACGGCGGTCAAACCAAAATATGGCTTCATCAGTCAATGAAATCCACAACGGTTAGTTTAAGCCACGTAGGAAGGTGTAGACTTCCCGGTTGGGGTCCTCGGGATGGTAAAAACCAATAGCTGGAGACAATCGGTGATATGACTCAAAATCGTTCTCAGTGGCTGGCGCAGATGCATCCACTCCTTGTGACTTATAATACCCAACAAAACTATATTGTTCTTCGTTATTACTATTCCTTTTGTCTCATATCCCTGTCTACTGTCTCTATTTTGTATTTCTTCTATTCTTGCTTTGTGTGCTACATGGAGTGTGTCGACTTGAACTGCTGCACATCGGTGCAAAGTTCTTTGTTGAAAACATACAGACAGACAGGAAGTATTTCAGACTTTATCAATACTAACTAGATAATCTTGTTCAATAATGAAGCAAAAATGAAAATTTAGGACATGTGACATAGTTTAATCTCTCGGGAATTGAAAGAGATAGTCTCAATCTAGTATTAGTAAAAGAAAACCAGATAGAAATAAATATTAGTAACGCCTAGTAAGAAGACAAGCATGTTTTAATTTATGCACACTCATTGATAAGGTTAAAACAAAGATTCAAGTTAAAATTATTTTTATCAACTTCTTCCCAACGCAGTAAGGCAGATTTAGTTTTGAAATCATTCCATAATTCTTGACGAATTATGGTAAAAATTTTAATCAGAGAATAGAATACTAAAGGTGCAACTGAAAATTACTTCAGGCTGCATAAAGAGTTCCAGATTAAACATCTACTCTTTTGTAGAAAATACTTACATAATAATAATATTGACCTTTTTCATTGATATTAGTCATTTCATGATAGTTAAATTAGTAGTAGAAATATACAGAGGAAATAGTTTTCACTACTTAATTATCAATATTTTTGAAACAAAATAGAACAGTTCGAAACTTACCTAGGTATCCTGCATGACTGGAGTTTGTAGTAGTGTTGCATTCACGGAAAGCCTGAAAATGGTAAGGTTTATTTTTATAAATTACTGGGCGTGTATGATGGACAAAAGGGAGTGTATAATTAGAAAGGAGTAAATATTATCCCTTGAATTATGCATAATTTATTATGTTTAAGATTTCTGTTTTTTTTTGTTTTCTTTCACGTTCCCCAGTGGAATATAGGGCTTCAAGCTAGTGGCTTGAAGTTTCTGTAGCAGTGTTTATTTTACAGGATGGGATTGCTAGCCTCATGCTCAACCTTTCCTCTTCACCAGCATTATTTCTGGCTTGGCAAGGTGAAGGAGTGCGTGGCCAGGGATCGAACCCCGACCATGTGCATCGTCGGCGAGCGTCCTAACCGCTATGCCACTGACGCCGAAGATTTCTGTTACTTCAGGCATATCAATTTCAAGCGTATTTCAACTCAGACATTTGAATAATTGTTTTTGGATTTCATTCAAGGGATAGATATTATGTATTTGGAAACTGAAGAACACCTGACTCTGTCGTGCATAGCCAGTAAACTCAGTCATTTAATGTTGTTTAAGCTTTTTTTGTTTTAAAGTAGATAGAGTGCTTAGATTAGACTTTCTACCTATCAGGATGTATTTCATTGTGAACTTCGTAAATTTCAAAATCAACGAATTCATTATGTAGGCATTAAAACATTAGTTCTAAAAATACCCTTTCTATACAACATACCTGGCATAAAAATTCTGGTCGAATTGCATTCCCCATTGCAGTGATGGCTTGATCAAGGAAATGATCCACATAAAACATACACTAAAGAAAAAACAGCAAGTAAACGAAACAAATTTCTGTTGTTGAGACGTATATTTTAATGTATTAATCAGTGTATACTGAATTACTGAAAGTCTTTAATGTACTAAAATAAATTTATACAAGGTTGTGATCCTCAGTGGAGAATTGCAAGTGTTCACTTCATAGGGAAGTTAGCAGTGAAGACAATTTCCAGAAGGATAATAAAGCCAGCTTAATAAACTACACCAGTAGGTAGTTCAAATGTAAAATGACTAGTGCAGCACATATGTAATTTGTTAATTTAAAACCAGTTATTCTGAGTAAAGTTTAGCTGAAAGTTTTTACAGGTATTTTTCTTAGCTTAACAAGGTCAAACGCCATTATTATCCGAAGTGAGTGATATTTTCAGAATAGTATATATTTCACTTTTTTGAGTCATAGGAATTGAAAAGCTAAATATATACAGAAATAACAACTGCATAAATTGTGGCTGATGTGGTAAAAAATAGCCTAATTATTGCCTGTAGTATTTTTGTTACTTGTATGATAACTGTACGATAGTAGCATTCACTCAGGCTTTATCTGCATTCTTTCATTCACGCAGAAAGAAATAAAGAATGACTAACTCATTGAAAATTTGGTTAGTTAAAAGTAGGTTCTAACGAAGTTCTCACATAGCCCAGATAATTCATGAAAAGAAAACCACATTGGGTAAGGAAAACACAAAGGAGGACTGATAAACAGCTAGGTATGACACGAATATCTAGGAGCATTCTTTCGAGAGCCTGTGATCACTGTGGTTGGCTATGTTTGATGCAGGGAATAGTGAGATCGTAATATTTTTTATTATTTTTGACCATTTTTACTGGTAAACTTGTAGGAGATTAAAGAAGTTCCCCAAATCAATTAGAACTCAGCCGTTTTGACGTCAGCGATAAGTTTCCTTATATGTATGGAAGGAAACAGACTGAGGATAAGTGGGTTTTCAAGGAACAAGAGTACGGCCATTTCGTTGTGATGTGATTGTGTATCTCTACATTCTCTTCATACAACTGTCAAAAAATACATCCCTGAACAGCCGTAAGTTTCATGCAACCGGTTCCCTTTATTAGTTTGAAGAGAGAAAGAACGAACATGTTTGCAGGATAATACGAGCTCGTTTTATTTCGTGGATTCTCATCAACTGCATACATCCTAAACAAAGTCAAATTATAGGTTTCAAGAAAGTTGTGGAACATACTTTTTCATAAATACTTTGAGTTATAGATAGAAGGCATAGGGAACATAATTCCAGAATTTGATGTAGGTAGACAGATTATTCGGTGTCAAAGTATTTATGAAAAAGTATGTTCCACAACTTTCTTGAAACCTATAATTTGATTTTGTTTAGGATGTATGCAGTTGATGAGAATCCACGAAATAAAACGAGCTCGTATTATCCTGCAAACATGTTCGTTCTTTCTCTCTTCAAACAGCCGTAAGTGTTTCAATCCCCCTTCATCTGACCACCAAGCTAGATGGGTGAGGCTAAAGAGTCAACAGGTAGTGTGGCCAAAGTCCAAGTCTGGCAGGATAGGTGGCTACACAAAACTCGTGAACATTATTTCTAGTTGAAACCAACCGGGAACAAACTCGAAGTTGTTCAGGCAGAGTCACCAACTGGCCTTCCAGAAATCCAGTTGACCTTAATACAAAATGTTTTTTCTAAAACTATTGGACTAATAAATATGTGAATGAAAGACAATACTGACAAAGTGATTTACCATTCATAAACGTTAGTTATAAATGAACTGGGAAAAGCGCAAAATGCCAAAGGCATTTGAAATTGCAATAACTAACAACACTTACTGTATTTTGAAGGTTTCCAGGTGGGATAGACAGGCAGACTTGTTCGCCTATGATTAAATATGTTGCTCGCCAGTATGAATCAGTGAGAACGAAGTGGAATAAGCTTATTCCGGCAATACAGGCATCACATTGACCTTCAAAACCAAAAATTCATAAATTGGTTACTTTCATTAATATGTATCGTTTTCTCACTAATCATTTTATAGAGTAAGATGTATAGTATGATTTTTAAAAATATCCATATCATTATTATTATTGTTCCTTTGGGTTCCGGGTGGAACATAAGAATTCGACAACAACAATACTTTGCTCTATTATCTGCTGTCCTTTTCAGCTGGACACACGAGTGCCCATAATCTCTCATCTTCTCCTCACCATATGATCTCTTCCATGTCACTCTTGCACCGACGACCCACTCATCGCTTCACATCTAGAGTCCACTTGAACAATGGCCTGGAGCGCGATGCCACCCCGATGGTCTCCTCAGTGTGTACTCAATCCATCTCAATTTTCCCCTACATATTTGCTGAGCAATAGATTCTTGGTCAGCTTCTTCCTATAGTTTCTTGCTGCTGATTCTTTTTGGCTAGCCATTTGATCTTCAATATGGAGCCAGCAAAGGTGGTAGCTGTTGATAAATGTCTTCAGCAGACTGTTCGAAATGCTTTTCCTGGTGCACTGGTCACGTTTATGACTCACATTAGTGTTGAAAATCCGAATCCTGTTGTTTATGCTGATTGAGTGCAGAAGATTTGCAAACCAATTTCAGATTGATGATTGTATACCTCGCCTTTCCGATTTTTGCGTTGACATCTTCATCCGTGAAGTCGCCTGTGGTTGAAACGATGTGGCTGCCTAGATAAATGAAGGAAGAAACCTCTTTCAGGTTTCTCCCACTGATAGTGACTGGTGCTGTTTGCTGTTGCTGCTGGTTGGTTATCTTCATCACCTCCATCTTCTCTATTCTCACCTGCAGTCCTGTTTTCGCTGCCAGCTTCTTCTGCCAACTTGTTGGTTTCCGCCTATAAGTCTTCAAGTTTGTGTGACACTAGACATAAATCATCTAAGCCCGAAATCCAGATCTTCTGCAGTCTTCCTATCGGTCCAACGTATTCCCATCTTCTCGCTCACGTATAATTCAGTCTACCACAATTAGGAATATCATCGGTGATAATAGGAAGTCAGTCTTGTCTTACTCCTGTATTGACTTCGAACCCCTCACTGAGTTTTCCGTTGTGGATCATTTGAAATGTAGCATTCTCATGTAGCTGTTGACTGAGGTTGATAAAGATATGGGCATTGCACACCATCTTGTTGAATTAGTTTCCAAATTACTTCATCCATACCATAGATGTCACGAATTCCTTATATCAGCTGGAGCGCTATGAAGTGATAACATACTTTTATAACGGTATCATTTATTGATAGATTGACTGAACTTAATAAAATTAATGAGAACTAATGGTGTACACCTCTAGAAATGTTTTCTTCTATCTCAAGTTGTGCTGAGAAATAGGTCGGGCTAATGATGTTTCATTTCTTAGACTACGTGAAAAGAATGGTTTTATTCCCTGGACCTTACTTGAGAAAGGACGTTACTAAACTACTCTATGTTACAATGATTAAGCATACTAAAGATAAATTTCTTCAAGTATACTAAGTACTCCCGGTCAAGTTTCTTATAGAAACTATATACACAATCACAGAGAGAGTATGAATGCTCATACAGAGTCCCGAAAATAGCTTGTATGATGATTATTATGATTTGCTGTGGTAAATGTTTAATAAACATACATGCCTCATGAATCTCAAGGTTTGAATGCCTACTGTATATCTAGTCATGGTCGTGTCTAAGGATATTTATATTTATATACTCTATTACCTAAAGTTCTCAAAATAAGGGTGAAATAAGCATTTAGTGTCCCTTTGTGTTCAAAGGTTCAATGGTTGAGTTAAGTCCATGATGAAACTCATTAGTTCTCTACAAATCACTCCGTTTATCTTATAAAGATCACTTATGGTATATATTCGGTTAACGATATGTGACCTGCCTGATAGCACTAATGGCAACCAAGAAAGCCATCGAAATAGCATTATCATATACAGTAATAGCAAAACTTATCATTATGTGTAAACCATTGAAATATAATTATACTTTATTTAATATACAGTGTTGTTTGATTTGAATAGTTAGAAGCTCCTTTCTTCGATCAGTAGTGTTACTTAGGCAGAGTGAAGTGATTTAAATACCGGATGGCTGTTTTGATCGTTTAGGGCCGAAATCATCAGTGATACACACCTAGTTAAACTCAGATCAGAAAGCTGAGTCAGTAGAAAACATCTGAATTTTGGCTAACTTTTAAAATGAATCAAGAATCTAGTTTGTCATTTCCAAACGACACAATTAGAGGTAAAAAACATTCATTTATAACTAGACAGTTAGATAAGTTCTAATTTCTTGACTTACCGATTAACGTTTCATTGTCTACGGTAGTATTCTGAACAAAAAGAGTGCGAAATAATGCGCTTTAGGATAATGATTTAAAAGTATGAGTATTAAAAAATATAAAATAAGCATTTCTAACTTTTTCCCTTATATTTTACTTTGATGTTGGCCTTTTAACTTCACTGCGTTGTTTATCGATTTCCACTCCGAGTGAAGCATAGGATTTTAAGCTTAAAGTTTCAGTAGCAGCTGTGGCGCCCTCTTTTAGTGGGTTGGGGTTCCTATCCTCTGGCTAAATCATACTTCTTTACCACGTTTACTAGTGGGTAAGAAAGATTTAGGAGTGTGTCAGCGGAAAATCGAAACCGAACCACATGCGTGGTTGACAAGCAGTCCACCACTACACTACTGACTCACATTAATCTTCTGTGTTGCATAACTAAATTTACTTGTATCAAATTTTTGGATTTAATACTCCTGCTAATTTCGATTACTGGTAGTCCAATTATACAGGTTTAAATATTTTGCATACACATCAACGTTTTAGAAAAAGCTTTGTGTGTGTTAACTTGATGAAAACAGCTATCATATTTCGTTTTTTTTATAAGAAAACTTATTTCGTTATATGCCTGGTAGTTAATTTCAGAACTTTTAATTGAAAACATATACATAGATTACCTGTTGGAGTAATGTGTAAATATTTTTTGATGCAGAATTCAAACTGAATTTCTCATTTGCCGATTTTATTTTCAATAAAATATTTTGTAGTTGAGATATCGCTGTCGTATCATTTTCTTAGAAAAGGAAAAAAAATTGAAAAAAGTTCCTTTAACAAAGATTATACTTGATTATACTTGCTGTTGAAGGCCTATGTTCCATTCGAAATCAAAAGAAGTAATTATAATAAAACATTAATACTTGATTATAGTGGAGATATAATGTTAAACATTGCGAATACTTTTGATTAGACACTGACAAGTTATTAGTACCGAGTGTCTAGTCCTTTGTTTGGTACAGACTAAATTCTATCAGTCAAGTTTGCAGGTTTGGCCACCATTCTAGGTGGCTCGTTATCCTAGGTGCACTTTGAGTTTGTAAAAAATTATATTTGTGAAATCTCAGCGAGATTGAAATAAGCAATTCCAAAGTTTCGTTCGGCAATCTGGTCCGAACTTCTTCAGTGTTTAACAAAGGTAGACCAATATTTGTAAGTCCGAGGTCAAATTTTGATCACAGCTCATAAAGTTTTGTTTATTATACTTGTTGATACTTGTTGAATGACTCATGATTGGACAAAGTTTTTAAAAACAAGTGGTGTTCCTTTTATATATAAACCTCTGTTATGTTAATTTCGATTAATTTCCCTGAAGAAGTTCGGACCAGATTGCCGAACGAAACGTTGGAATTACTCATTTCAATCTCGCTGAGATTTTACAAATATAATTTTTTACAAATGTCTACTTCTCAATCGGCGCCCAAATATTTTAGAACTATTCTGTCAAATCTTGACGACAGTTCATTTGCACTTTGAGTTGTTGATACAAAGATGTTAGGAGGCAATCAAAAGTATCCAATACAGCCCTACAGGAGGTCAATCGTAAACCCGAATACCTCAGTGGTAACGTCTGTGACTACAGTACTCACTGGGTGACGCGGGTTTGAATATCAGAAAGGACATGAGTCCCTTCAAGGTTGCAGATACGCCTTGCTGACTTTTGAGTATCAACTAGCACGAAAACTAGGTCCAAGACTTCCTGTGGCCGATTGCCTCCAACCATCTAATAAAGAAAGAAAAATTGTGAGTATTAAGTATTCCAGGACAGTGTGAAACTTAAACCTGTTAGTTTTTCTTTTATAAATTTCAACAACAAGATAAAAAGCTACTTATCTGATAAGTGTAATGTATTTGTGAAATACATATCGGATATTCTCATCATAATCACACACATAATTGTGGAATTCATGTTTATTACATATCTCTACGATGTGTTTTGTGATAGATGAGGTTGTGCAACTAATTTCAGCGTTATTTAAGTTAGGTGAATACATTAATTCATACAGCTGCATAGGAATTTCTCCTGCAGGACTAACCTGCAGAAGTATACAAAGGGATAGTTCATTTCAATACAATATGTATTACAAATAAAAATGAACTAATTCGCCTAGAATAAGGCGAATAGGAGAAATAAAAGTCGTGCACAGGTTACAGTGTAACAAAATATATCACCATCAAATAAAACTTGGACTGAAAGTCAATATTCTACCTCAACTTCACGGATATTGAAAAAGGCCTGAAGTAAAATAGGCTGCAAACTAGTTTGATAACTATTGGAAACCAGGGAGTACTGGACAGCTGATTTTCATCCTAGTTTGGGAATCATCGGCAGTACTCACCCACTGGGACTGGAATCCAGGACCTTCCGGTTACAAGGCAAGCTCGTATACCATTCAACCACTGGGACCCGATTCAATGGCTCATGAATTCTAACTTCTACCAATTCCTGACTTAGCGTGACCCCAATGGAATTTCCTAGAGTTCTAGTGAGAAGTCGTGACCAGTGAGGTCCAATTAGATGTCACGTGTGTGGATGGATTTCCCATCAACGACAATAGTTGGGGTCGCGCTAAATCACGAATTGGTAGAAGTTAGAATTCATGAGCCATTGAATCGGGTCCCAGTGGCTGAATGGTATACGAGCTTCCCTTGTAACCAGAAGGTCCTGGATTCCAGTCCCAGTGGGTGCGTACTGCCGATGATTCCCAAACTAGGATGAATCAGCTGTTCAGTATTCCCTGGTTTTCAATGGTTCTCAAAATGATATCAGTCCGTGATCTACTCGTAAAAACATAACTAACCCTGACAAACCAAACTGTAGAAAATTTGATAACTCGTTCACCATTATGGAGTGTAGTGATACAAACATATACAAATCTCAATCAACAACTATACACCAACGTTGCAAGGCAAGTAATCAAAAACTGAAAGAACAACAAAGCTTTTCAAGTGAACAAACGGGTAAGAAAAGGCCGCCTAAAAAAACTCATGATCTACTTAGTCGTAGTGAACCGGATCATTATCATATCATTAACACAAATCATATCATGTTCACAGGAAAACACGAAGCAGTCCACCCCCTCTACTCAACATCTTTTCAAGTGTGTATCTTCTTAGCACAATTATCATCATTTCTACTACTAACATAACCACTTAAAAACACAAGTTTGCGATTTACACAAAAATAGAAACAAAGGTCAACTAACATGATTCATTAAAAAAATGAACTGAGATTTGTGTTATAAAAAATGAATGAATTATTTGTTTCACAAGTTTATGTACTTTGATAAAAAAAATAAATAACAAATACTTCAAAAGGCTGATTATCTCTTTACTATTTAAACATTTCAAAGGAGACTCTCAAAGTTATACTCATGGACTTTGCACTTTCATAAACAATATAACATTAATTAAATGAGATAAAATAATATAATTTTCAAAAATATCTATCAGAGGAGGCTGAAGTATTTCAACAGAATGTACTTTTATCTGATATCGAAAAGCGTTAAATAAATCATCTAGCATAAAAATTAAGCGCTTTGATTCTCAATCGCTATTGAAGTAATTTAGGTTCGAAATGGTGTCTACTAGAGAGGAAACAGCGCATTTTATTCAGGATTTACAATAAATCGTTTGATTAAGTATATCAACGAATAAAATAGTATTATTGCTATTTGCTAGGCGACATAATGTTTGTATTCTATGTCTCCTTGAAAATGAGATAGTGAGTGGCAATATAAGAATGGCAGTAGCTCATTGAAGAAGACATTGCGAAATGGCAGAAGTTAGAATTCATGGACCATTGGATCGCGTCTCATTGGCTCAATGGTCTACGAGCTCGCCTTGTAACCAGAAGGTCCTGGATTCGAACCCTGGTGGTGAGTGCGTACTGATGAAGAGCCCCAAACTAGGACGAAACAGGTGTCCAGTACTTCCAGGTTTTCCAGTGGTTCTCTAACTGATGTCAGCTCATGATGAAATCCTCCATCCAATCAAATATAAGAATCATCAATGTAAATATACAACCAATTTTTCACAAGGCTGACGAAAATTATTTTAAAATGTGTGGTGTTATACACTCACATGGAAGTAAATTATTTAGGGTGGGTGAATTCATCTGTTTCACTCTAATGTGGTAAGATACTGAAACTATATGAACTTTATAAGGATTGAAGAAAAGAAAAGACAATTCAGCGAAGAAAAATCTCTTCATCGACGAAATCATGTTCGGAGGCTGTACAATCTTATTTACATTTACGAAATAGTGGGTGACATAATTGATATTATTACTCAAAAGTGGCTTCACAAGGAAAAATAAAAGTTGTAAATTAAGTAGTACTCAATGGCACAAAGGAAGAAAGGGTTAGAAATTTGATGAGGTTAAAATTGTTATTGAGTGAGAATAAATGCAGTTGAGTGTCAATTTGACAAGTGTGAAGAGAGTGAGAAAATGTACAAAAGGATCATATGAGAGTGATAATAGTGAATTAATTATTAAAGTAAAAGCAAACTAAAAGTACGTAAATTAAAAGGACGTACCACTACGTCTAATATTGGTTATGATAAATTCACCATATCATGCTTCTTCTAAAAGGATCGCAGACATTCTCCTACCTATCAGAAATAATCTCTGTCAGTATAGTTTTTCAGATTCATTTGAATTCATCGACTCAGTAGGTGATGCTAATGTATCCAGGAAGAAAATGATATCCATGGATGTTACGTCCATTTTCACTAATGTTCCCCTCACTGAAACTATCTGCTTTATATGCAAATTCATTGAGGATAATAATGTAGGCGTGGATGTGCCGATCCACTACTTAAAGGAACTACTATTGAGGTGCACTTTCAACGTTCAGTTCAAGTTCAACAAAAAAATGGGTCATGGGTCTTTTGCAGACTGCTTCTTGTCAAGTCTAGAGAATAGTTTGTTCAACCACTATCTATAGTTTCCAATGCCCAAAGATAATGTGAATTTCATCATATGTGACGAGAATGCTAACATCGAAATGATAACTAAGGAGTTCAAAAACTGCCATCATGCCATCCAGTTCACGTCGGAGCCAGATGGGAACTTGGAATTCCATTATTTGGATGCTTTTCTAAAACAGAGATCTGACGGTTCTCTTCAAAGATCAGTCTACAGGAAACCAACATGGAATGGTCAGTAGACGAATTTTCATAGTTGGGCCCCTCTGAGAAGAAAGAGAAATCTAATTCATTACTTATCCTCAAGAATAAGAAGGATATGCAACAGTGATACAGTCGACTGGGAACTGGAGCGAGTCAAACAATTCTTCATGGGAAATGGATATCCTCCAAGGTTCATAGAGAAAAATATCAAAGTACAGCAAAAGGCTGAAAGAACCCAGACGGCGCCGAAGAAACTGCTATTTATGAACGTTGAATTTAAAGGTGATACCGCAGCTGAGATTCTGAAGAACCGTTTATCCAGATCACTGAAAAAAGCCTTCTTTGAGTCTGAGCTACGGATCAGTTTCCACAGACGTCAAATGGTCAATGGATGTGTGAAGGATACACTGCCGCTATGGGCTATTTCAGTGTGATTATGAATTCACTTTTTCCTGCGGAGCTAGTAGTATTTGCCAGAGGAGGCAGACATTTTCCAAACGTATCTGTCATGGTTAGCATGAGGACAATGCAAGACAATTACTAGCTCAGTTCTTGAGCACTTGGTGAACTCAAGACACGCCGCTCCATATTTCATGATTATTTACAAGGTAAGGCCAAATGGTACAAAGGGCATCAGGTTTCGGCTTTTGTGTATGGCGGAGGTGCTGACAATACAACCCCGAACACTGTATATAGAAAAATTTGTCCAGTCTCTTATTCTAACATATTTATTTTTATTTATTTTTTATTTTTTTATTTTTGATTACAGCTTGATGCCACAGTACAAGTATGGAATTTTCAGCATGGATATCGGTAGCCCAAATTTTGCAGGCCGACCATAGATATCGAGTGTGCGTCGGCGGGGGATCGAACCCCGAACCATGTGCATGGTCGGCGAGAGTCCTAACCACTGTGCCACCGACGCACATAATATTACTCTCTTCACTAGTCATTCCCTATAATTTTTTATCTTTAAATTTTACTTTTAGTTTGATTTTATTTCAATAATTGATTCATTATTATCACTCTCATATGATCCTTTTGTACATTTTCTCACTCTCTTCACACTTGTCAAATTGACACTCAACTGCCTTTATTCTCACTCAATAACAATTTTAACCTCATCAAATTTCTAACCCTTTCTTCCTTTGTGCCATTGAGTACTACGTAATTTACAACTTTTATTTTTCCTTGTGAAGCCACTTCTGAGTAATAATATCAATTATGTCACCCACTATTTCGTAAATGTAAATAAGATTGTACAGCCTCCGAACATGATTTCGTCGATAAACAGGATTTTCTTCGCTGAATGGTCTTTACTCTTCTACATGAAGATTATTAACCATCGAAAAATTCGAGCAACATTTTACTAGAATTCAGTAGGTCACTATGTCAAATGACACAAATTCTCTACTTAATCATGGGAAAATATCACATTGTTGCACTGGATAGTTTTATTTTGTTGATATTCATCAACAGAATATATTTCCAGTCATTAATATTACACGTGAACATCAGCTAAGGATGTACACAATGTATTAAACATATCTAGGAAAATAAGGAACCTTCCAGCAATTAATCATGAAATTACATGGGGATTTGGATGCTATCCACACAAACAAAGAGAGATTTTCAATTTATCGATTTAGCTGTGATAACATATTAAAGCCAGAAACAACCATCAGAGCTAAAAGCATTCTTCAGCATTTCCTAGTGACCGAATTGAATTTCGTATTTCGTAAGAGCATTTGTTTGTCCCAAAGATGAAAAGAAATTGCACAGATATAGATGTAAACAAAGATTAGAGGCCAACTGTGAAACAGCGGAATAAATTCCCGAGAAACTAACAGTGAGAATGACACATTGATCAATAAAAAGACAAAAAACATGTGACAATCAAATCCTTAAATAAAAGCATTCATTCACTCCACTCATATTCACCATGCAAAGTCAATACTTACCAAGGCGTCGTGGTTTGAACACAAGCGACTCAGTCGAGTTGCAAGCTTGAATTGCCTACAAACAAACAAATAAAGAAGTCATGTGCATATGGAAGTGGGCTCCTACAGGCACGGAACAAATAACACCAATAAACTCCTGTTCATATAAGTAGGCTTAATCAAAATTATCAGACATTGTAGGAGACGAGACGAACAAAATAATCAAACACATTCTGCATCGTCAATAATCATTCGACCAACGAGAAAAGAAAATATATGATACCTTCAACAACAAGGGAAGGGATCGGTATAAACATCATCACACCAAAATCCTCCTCATCTCAGTCTCACAAAATCACGTCTCAGATGTGGTCAACATTCAAATGTATATAACACAAACAGCTAACAAGTGCATTCATACAAAGCAAAACATATCTGAAGCGTATTCGACTGCTCACCTTACAAATGAACTGAGGTTGGATTGCAATTGCCATCGCCTTCAACGCGTGTGGAAAATACACATCGACGTAAGTCAGGCACTGAAGCACAAAACAAAAGAAGCAATAAATTGTGAGTGAGAGTGAGCTAACAACATTCGTCGGACACGATAAAAATTAGTGTAGGTAAAATTGAGTGCTAGTATTACATCACTAAACATTCTCAGCACGTCAAAGTGTTCGCCATTCAAGTAATCATCAGGCGACACAGCTTTCAAAACAACAACAAAAAGAGTTGGGTGATTCCCTTCAGATAAGCCGTAGTCACCAGCCTACATCTGTATTACAAACTTCACACTCACATCACATATATCAGTAGAGCAGGGATACGAGGATGGAAATCTCCCTCACACTCTCCATTCTCACCAAGTGATGTATCTCTCCTTGTCCAATATCCACAATATTCACATATTCCTTCACAGAATTACAATATCCACCACAAAATCATAGGCATCAAGGAAAATATCAGTAATCCTCCCACAATATCAAATTCAAACTGACAACGACAAACACACAATCATAGGATTATCAGAGACAAAAAGGCGTATCACGCATAAAATACACAAATCAAAACCATGTGATGAAAACAAGACACTACTTACAGTATTCCGGAAACTTCCAGGAGGAAGTGTTTCACACAGCTGTTTGCCCATTATGATGTATGTGTCTACCCAATACTTATCAGTGATGATGTAGTACACTAAATCCATGCCTGCCATACACGCATCACATTCCGCTGAAAACAATGAATACAAATTACAATAACCCAGACGTCTAGTAAACCAAAATGCAATACACCAACTGTGTGCACACGTTGGGTAGACAGTGAAAATATCATTCAGACACAGTCCACATCACTGAAGAATGACAAACATTCTCACAAGCGTATCCACACAAACAGCTGCAGGATAGAAATCAAGGAGGCAACATAGAATGCAATAGTGGGATAAAACTAAAGATGATATAAAAATCAGCATCACTGTCCTTACACCGGAACAATGCCTGCTGCCTCAATGTGGTGTCTGCTTTCTCATGACAATTCACCATATGGAGTGTTATTTGGAAGCAAAATGTTCCCTTAAGCATCCACCTTAATTCTACGTGACGTTACATGAGAATATATGAGTGAATCGATGACGTGAATTATTCGATTGCTGAATCACATCAACAAACAACTCAAACACGTAGGAGAGATAGTCATACACACTGAATTATCATCAATCTGCTATTATTACGGAAAAGAAGAAATGTAGGTGTTCAACAAGGGCACAGAACACACCATGAGAATGTGAATCTCAACTTCTAGGGAGAGAGAAATATAAGAGCATTCCACGAAACACTGTCGCTTCGAAGAATTGGTTACACATTCTGCTATACACTTCGGTTGATTACGCAAAAAGCAGTGCAGAAACTTAACCAAGCATATTCAATATAGATTCTCATAAAAATTCTAAGAGGTTGATTGGAGAACAAACAATATTCCTATCAATAATCTCTTCATATATTCATTCAACCGCTCCCCTAGAAACAATTATATTAGCCATGTTTCTAGGAACTTGATTTTCCGTGTTCACGAAGATCTACAAGTGTGGCTCAGTAGAGCTGTAGCAAAGCAAAAGCCATCAACAGTTCCATCGACATCATACCACCTGGTGCAAACACGTCATACACCTGATTTCGAGGCGTCCTTCCCAATCATGTCTCCAGTACTAAGTAAATAGCAGATAATCTCTTGACTCTGAATACTCCAAACACCAGACGAAATTACAATTCCCCTGAAACAACCGGAACTCTGACCGCATAGGAAATGTGTTCATGCACCATGACCAACCTCACCAGCTCTACAATCTATACACTCATCAATTCCATATTCTATTTCCTAATTCATCCGATTTTCAGTTTGGTGTGCACATATTCATGCACATCATCACTCACAAATGCCTTGGAACTGTCATCTACTCATACTAACAGTTAGATAATATTTAGAAAATTAGTGTTTCCAGTATCATTAACTCCCCAAGTATTACTGAAATATATAAACAAAATAGAACTTCATGTAGTCATCGAAAAAAGTATCATACACTAACTCATCAGCTTTCCAGGTACTTTCACTCTCAGAACTGTGATAATCAACAAAGTTGAAATCTGTCTAGGTTAGATCATTTATCGAGAGAAGTCTGCACCATCAGTCGAATCGAGTCGACTGTGCAGAAATTCAACACACATAGAAGCTTCTTCATAGCAAACGGTTCAACACGAAATAGGATGCATCAGAAACATTCTGACATTCACAATATTTGTTCGAATCACGTCCACTTCCACTTACGAATGATCGATGATGGGTGGATGAGAACCACACCCATCCACACACTGAAACCTCAATAAATGTCAGACACGAGGCATTAAATAAGGAGAGGAGGTAATTCACAATTCTCATCCTCAAAATCATTCACCAGAACATTTCACACTCATTCGGTGTTCACAGTAACTGGACAGCAGACAAAAACAAAAAAAATTCACCAGAAAATTCACTGTGAGAGACATTCCATCAGAAAACTTGTAAAGTATTCAATACAATCAGAAATAACATACCGACAGTTGCATTCTGGTCATCGTCTCTCTGTGGAATCAGAAAATTTCAAAAATTAATTAGTGTGATAAACAACTACGGTTATAATAATGCATAAGCCATGAGTGTCTCTTTTACCCTTTAAATTGTCAAAATTCACTTGATTTCCGGAAATGTATATTTCGCGATACTATACAGATATATGTATATTTTTTTTTTGACATTCTCAAATAAATTCACTCGATGAAACTTTCCTCAACTAATCGAATAGCCTCTCATGTGGCATCTCGTTGGTGAACTTTTCATTTTCGAATTAAGTCTGCACCCAGTCAAGTAATTTCAAGCATAAAGTCAATGAGGGGGACACTCACATTTATGGAACATACAGCCACATTAGGTGTTAATTAGATATTCAGTGTTTTATCATATACGTAGGTTATAATTTAATAGTGATTACTAAGAAAAATTCAAGACAGTTTGTTTCTAAAATCACGACACACTTCTTAGATAAGTGTCCACCCATTTCATCAGCGTAAAATCGTCAGACATTACAATTCAATATGCAGCTGTCGAGTTTTGTAGTGGTAACAGTGTGAGTGCCCATCATATATATCGTTTATATGGCTTTATCCAGTAAATATGATAGTGACACCATATGACACTCAAAACAAGGAAGCATATCCTACGACATTTTTCGTTTTCGTCCACTATAATTTTTATGAGGAAGAATTTAGTTTGTTATCCTACAGTGAAGGGAGCCAGTGTGTTTACACAGTGTTCCTCAACTGTGAAAATTAATTTAGAAAATGGAATGTGGTAGTATTCACCATGATACAAGTCTTACATACCATGAGCCAGTCTTCACTCATTCATTCATTCGTTTTAAAAGGGGAAATACATCAGCCGACTGTGCAATAAGTTGAAAAAGTTAACGATAGTGGCTTCGTTAAACATAATCTTTGACTGCCATACATTAATTGTCAATTAAAATGACTTCGTCTTTTGATAAAATCATAAATGTGACTATCAGATTTAATGAAGTAATGCAATTTCATGAAAAATAAATGTCAGGATAACCGTAGATTTCGCTGTCAGTCAGCTGGCTGATATGGCAATGAGAAGAATGTGACGGCATGTGTACAGATTATCACCATTGTATACAATTGCGATGCTAGTCGATAGATCACCCAAGCAGCGTTTCTTTTTTATGCTTTTATTGGCAATATACAGAGCTTAACACTGACTGTTAGAGGTGCACTGGATATTACTTCCTATGTCTAAATCGAAATGGAATGAATGCATTCCAAGTGCACCACGATAAAAATGTATTCCTAGTATACTCGCTTAATTCGTTAAATCTACCAACAGATTCAATGTTTCGTCTCTCTGAACCAGAAGAACGCCTCATAATAAGTAAACAAAAGTATTGTCACCACTGTGAATCAAAATGGTTAGATTAATTCTAGTATGTAACTACTATTCCTACAATGAATTCAATTATAAAATTACATAATGAAGAAGAAAATTTTGAAATGCCTTTTTACACAATTAACAAACATTGCTTCAAACACCTTTAAATAATAAAACTTACAAAATTGTTTAGCGCTGGTGATGCCATAGCATCTTTTACAGCGAAGGAAAGAAATGAAGCCAAGAGAATAATAGACGGGAGGAACATTCTTGTGAACTGTAACAAATATTGTGAGAATATCGCTTTGAAGGATATGTTCGAGTTTAAATTAATGCCACATATATTTATATGTATAATCTTTAAAAAAAATTACTTTAAAATTGGCGCGCGAGGTCTCAAGTATAAAATTCAAATTAATAAAATGATTCGCTGAGCAAAGTCCACATTCCACTAGCTACTACATATATATATGTGTCGCATTAACTTAAACGCATCGGCAGATTTCAAAGAAATATTAATACGCCAATTTCACAAATATTGTGACCAATCAAATAAAATGTTCGTCCCAGTTATCATTCTCCTGGCTTCAATTCTTTCCTTCGCTGTACAGGATGCAGCGACATCACCGGCATTGAAAAATTTCGTAAGTTAAATTAATTAAAGATTTCTAAGCCAGTGTTTGTTCATTCTGACATGTGAGCTAGTAAATACTTCTGCTTTAATATCACTGTAGTTGTATATCACACTAATTAATTTTTGAAATTTTCTGATTCCACAGAGAGACGATGACCAGAATGCAACTGTCGGTATGTTATTTCTGATTGTATTGAATACTTTGCAAGTTTTCTGATGGAATGTCTCTCACAGTGAATTTTGTAGTGAATTTTGTGTTTTTGTCTGCTGTCCAGTTATTGTGAACACCGAATGAGTGTGAAATGTTCTGGTGAATGATTTTGAGGATGAGAATTGTGAATTATCTTCTCTCTTATTTAATGCCTCGTGTCTGACATTTATTGAGGTTTCAGTGTGTGGATGGGTGTGGTTCTCATCCACCCATCATCGATCATTCGTAAGTGGAAGTGGACGTGATTCGAACAAATATTGTGAATGTCAGAATGTTTCTGATGCACCCTATTTCGTGTTGAACCATTTGCTATGAAGAAGTTTCTATGTGTGTTGAATTTCTGCACAGTCGACTCGATTCGACTGATGGTGCAGACTTCTCTCGATAAATGATCTAACCTAGACAGATTTCAACTTTGTTGATTATCACAGTTCTGAGAGTGAAAGTACTTGAAAAGCTGATGAGTTAGTGTATGATACTTTTTTCGATGACTACATGAAGTTCTATGTTTATATATTTCAGTAATACTTGGGGAGTTAATGACACTGGAAACACTAATTTTCTAAATATTATCTAACTGTTAGTATGAGTAGATGACAGTTCCAAGGCATTTGTGAGTGATGATGTGCATGAATATGTGCACACCAAACTGAAAATCGGATGAATTAGGAAATAGAATATGGAATTGATGAGTGTATAGATTGTAGAGCTGGTGAGGTTGGTCATGTTGCATGAACACATTTCCTATGCGGTCAGAGTTTCGGTAGTTTCAGGGGAATTGTAATTTTGTCTGGTGTTTGTAGTATTCAGTGTCAAGAGATTATCTGCTATTTACTTAGTACTCGATACATGATTGGGAAGGACGCCTCGAAATCAGGTGTATGACGTGTGTTTTTGTCACAGGTGGTGTGATGTCGATGGAACTGTTGATGGCTTTTGCTTTGCTACAGGTTAACTGAGCCACACTTGTAGATGTTCGTGAACACGGAAAATCAAGTTCCTAGAAACATGGCTAGTATAATTGTTTCTAGGGGATCGGTTGAATTAGTATCTGAAGAGATTATTGAGAGGAATATTGTTTTTCTCCAATCAACCTCTTAGAATTTTTATGAGAATCTATATTGAATATGCTTGGTTAAGTTTCTGCACTGCTTTTTGTGTAATCAACCGAAATGTATAGCAGAATGTGTAACCAATTCTTCGGAGCGACAGTGTTTCGTGGAATGCTCTTATATTTCTCTCTCCCTAGAAGTTGAGATTCCCATTCTCATGGTGTGTGCTGTGCCTTTGTTGAACACTTACATTTCGTCTTTTCCGTGATAATAAGAGATTAGTGATATTTGAGTGTGTATGGCCATCTCTTATACGTGTTTGAGTAGTTTACTGATGTGATTCAGCAATCGAATAATTCACGTCATCAATACATTCATGTATTCACATGTAACATCAGACAGGCGGAAGGTGGAAGCTTAGGGGAATGTTTTGCTTTCAAATACCACTCTACAGGATGAATTTTGATGAGAACACAGGGACCACTTGGAAGCCGCACTCAGTGTTCCTGTGTAAGGACAATGATGGTGATTGGTTTATCATCTTTATTTCTATCCCACTGTTGTTTATGACAAGTCATAGACTGCAGTCTATGTTACCTGCTTGATTTCTATCCTGCAGCTGTTTGTGTTGATACGCTTGTGGGGATGTTTGTTGTTCTTCAGTGGAGTTGACTGTGTCTGAATGAGATTTTCACTGTCTAATCAACGTGTGCACACAGTTTGTGTATTGCATTTTGGTTTTACTAGATTATTATAATTATTTTTGTAATTTGTATTCATTGTTTTCAGCGGAATGTGATGCGTGTATGGCAGGCATGGATTTAGTGTACTACATCATCACTGATAAGTACTGGGTAGAAACATACATCATAATGGGCAAACAGCTGTGTGGAACACTTCCTCCTGGAAGTTTCCGGAACACTGTAAGTAGTGTCTTGTTTTCATCACATGGTTTTGATTTGTGTATTTTATGCGTGATACGCCTTTTTGTCTCTGATAATCTTATGATTGTGTGGATGTCGGTGTCAGTTTGAATTTGAGATTGTGGGAGGATTACTGATTTTTTCCTTGATGCCTATAATTTTGTGGTGGATATTGTAATTCTGTGAAGGAATGTGTGAATGTTGTGTAAATTGGACAAGGAGAGACACATCACTTGGTGAGAATGGAGAGTGTGAGGGAGGTTTCCATCCTCGTATCCCTGCTCTACTGATATATGTGATGTGAGTGTGAAGTTTGTAATACAGATGTAGGCTGGTGTGAACCACATATCTGAGGGAGTCACCCAACTCCTTTTGTTGGTTTTGTTTTGTAAGCTTTGTCGCGTGATGTTCACTTGAATGGCGAACACTTTGACGTGCTTAGAATGTCTAATGTTGTAATACTACCACTCAATTTTACCTACACTAATTTTTATCGTGTCCGACGAATGGTGTTAGCTCACTCTCACTCACAATTTATTGTTTCTTTTGTTTTGTGCTTCAGTGCCTGACTTACGTCGATGTGTATTTTCCACACGCGTTGAAGGCGATGGCAATTGCAATCCAACCTCAGTTCATTTGTAAGGTGAGCAGTCGAATACGCTTCAGATATGTTTCGCTTTGTATGAATGCACTTGTTAGCTGTTTGTGTTATACATTTGAATGTTGACCACATCTCAGACGTGATTTTGTGAGACTGAGATGGGGAGGATTTTTGTGTGTTGATGTTTATAAGGAACCTTTCCCTTGTTTTTGAAGGTATCATATATTTTCTTTTCTCGTTTGTCGAATGATTATTGACGATGCAGAATGTGTTTTATCATTCTCTCCATCTCGTCTCCTACAATGTCTGATAATTTGATGAAGCCTACTTATATGAACACGAGTTTATTGGTGTTATTTGTTCCGTGCCTGTAGGAGCTTACTTTCACATGCACATGACTTCTTTGTTTGTTTGTTTGTAGGCAATTCAAGCTTGCAACTCGACTGAGTCGCTTGTGTTCAAACCACGACGCCTTGGTAAGTATTACTGCAGTAAATTTGCTGACACCTTATCTTAGTAGAATGAATGATTTCTTTCCTCTTACGTTTTGAAATTTGAGAAAGTGTTTGTCTTTTTACTCATTAATGTGTCATTCTCACTGTTGATTTCTTTGGAATTATACCCACTGTCTCTCTGTTGCTACCTTGTATTTCTTTATATCTGTATTTTTGCGATTTCTTATCATCTTTGGAAAAAATAATGCTCTTAAGAAATACGAAATTCAATTGAGTCACTAGGAAATGCTGAAGAATGTCTTTAGCCGAGATGATTGTTCCTGGTTTTAATGTGCTTTTAGAGCTAAATCGATTGTTTGAAAATCGGTAGATACACACTGAAGTGTTCAAATCTTTTATTGTTCTTGTGGACAACGTCTCCAGTCCTAAATAACCTCGTGATGAAATGTTGGAAGCTTCTTAATTTTCCTAGATATGTTTGGTACTCTGTGTTCATCCTTAGTTGATGTTCAGTTGGTGTGAAATTTATTATAAGTCAGTTAGTTCATCCAAATTCGAAATACACTCTGTTGATGAATATCAACAAAATAAATCTATCCAGTGCAACAATGTGATATTTTCCCTTGATAAAAAATTGAATTAGTGTCATTTGACATAGTGACCTACTGAATTCTTCCAAGATATACCTTGAATTTCTAGATGGTTAATAATCTTTATTTAGTTCATATAGTTTCGGTATCTTACCACATTCGAGTGATACAGATAAATTCTCCCGCCCTAAATAAGTAACTTCTGTGTGGTCGTATAACACCACACATTTTTAAATAATTCTCGTCAACATTGTGAAAACAAATTAGTTGTATGTTTACAATGATTACCCTTATATTGCCACTTACTATCTCATTTTCATGGAGACATAGAATACTAACATTATGACTACAGACTTGTAGTTTAAACAATGTGTGATACTCGAAATATCGCCCAGTAAATAGTTTTATTAATATTTTATTCAGTGATATACATAATGAAACGATTTATTGTAAATCCTGAATAAAATGCGCTGTTTCCTCTCTAGTAGACACCATCTCGAACCTAAATTACCCCAATAGCGATTGAGAATCAAAGCGCTTAATTTTTATGCTAGATGATTTATTTAACGCTTTTCGATATCAGATAAAAGTACATTCTGTTGAAATACTTCAGCCTCCTCTGATAGATGTTTTTGAAAATTATATTATATTATTTTATCTCATTTAATTAATGTTATATTGTTTATGAAAGTGCAAAGTCCATGAGTATAACTTTGAGAGTCTCCTTTGAAATGTTTAAATAGTAAAGAGATAATCAGCCTTTTGAAGTATTTGTTATTTATTTTTTTTATCAAAGTACATAAACTTGTGAAACAAATAATTCATTCATTTTTTATAACACAAATCTCAGTTCATTTTTTTAATGAATCATGTTAGTTGACCTTTGTTTCTATTTTTGTGTAAATCGCAAACTTGTGTGTTTTAAGTGGTTGTGTTAGTAGTAGAAATGATGATAATTGTGCTAAGAAGATACACACTTGAAAAGATGTTGGGTGGAGGGGGTGGACTGCTTCGTGTTTTCCTGTGAACATGATATGATTTGTGTTAATGATATGATAATGATCCGGATCACTACGACTAATTAGATCATGAGTGTTTGTAGGCAGCCTTTTCTTATATCCTTCTCCATTTCTAACATTGTGGTGTTCTTTTCATTGTAGGTTACTTTGTATGCGGTAATGTTGATTTAGGTTTGTATTTCTGGAGTGCATAATTTTGAGGCAGCTACCGATGTGGTTTGTGACCTAGTTCGTTGAAGGCATTTTCGATATCCATGAACTGTGATGTAGACTGCTGAGTATCATTCCAGACTTTTTTCGATGATGATGAATAGCGCTGCATTTTCATCAGCTCATGACTTATTTTCCATGAAATCAACGTGTTCTGGACAAATTATTCAATCCAGAACATCTAACATTCTTTTCAATATGATACCTCTTAGTAATTTGTTTGGAGTGGACAGTGGTAAGATCCCTCACCGGTTCTTGCATTCAACTTAAGTCACCTCTCTTTGGCAGTTTGACAATATAGCCTTCTTCTCAATTCGTAGATACCTTTCCTTCTACAACTTCTGCAGCAGTGGTATGAGCAATTCTGATTTCTTCTCTTACCAGATATCTAGCGATCAAGTTTAATTGATATAGTGTTGTCAAGTCTCTCTATCCTGGTATTATTTCTTCTTAAGCTGACAGTGTTTCGTAAAAGCTTATTTTGTCTTTATGAGAGTTATGCTCCACTCATTTTTTTTCACTGAGATGTAGATAACAGTCAGCTTCTTCTTTTCGTTGTTCATCTCTACACTGGTTCATTTTCTGCTTCACCTTCTTTCTTCTATCTGGTTACACATGTCAGTAGTCAGCCATTATCATTCTTGCCTCTTTTTATTACTTAGAATGCCTACATACGTTTCCTTTCACGTCGCTGTCACAGAGTTTCAGTGTTATGGTCCAGTGATGCTGCTTGATTCTTCAAACTATTTTTGGGGAACGCGGGAAATCGACCTCTGTAGCATCGTCCTTACATTTCTAAGCAGTGAACTTAAATTATGATCAGTCGCGAGAATCCATGAGTGCTTTCACCTTGATCAGGAAAGTTTCTCACTTTAAACAGAAGTCCGAACCCACATCTGCCTCTCTTCTCAATCTTGTGTACAGTAGGCTGTATCTCCACTTTCTTGAGGTGGATATGAAGCCCAGATGACTTTCGGTTCGTCATGTGTCGTCATGAGTATATCCCTGCACTGGTATATTCTACCTCCATTCACCAAAACATTAAACTCTATGACGTCTGAAAATATTTCTCCATTCTCATTCATCTGACCTAGTGCTTCCTGCGTTGTCTGATTCCAGCTTACCATTCATATCATCTATTAGAACTTTGATGTTTCCATATGATTAGGGTCTTATGCACTACTACTTGCAGCTGTTTGTGAATTTTCTTGATCTTCTCCGCTGGATGTGGGGTATTTGTAGGTGAATACCATCGTATAATTGTAACTTTCTTTTATTTTTGGGCTGAATCTTGCTGTCGTCATCCTCCGTGGGGATACTTGTTTCCAATGCTTGATAGACTTCGAGGCTGTCAGTAAGCTCATGGTTGACTTCTGGATGACCAGTGCAGATTACTGACTCTCATAGTGAACTTTTATTCCATTGACTTTTGCAGATTCCTGAAACTTCTGTACCGTACCTTCTCATTTCTTTTGGGATCTAACTGCTTCGTCAGGCAAACGTGGTGCAGATTTTCCATGTCCCTTTGCTTACTTTTGGTTTTATTGAAAAGATGTATATCAGTAGACTGGTTTCTCTAAGGTTATCACCAAATTATCACGAGTATTGTTTAAGACACAAAACATGGTATGACAAATAAAGCAAAACAATTGCTATTATTATTTTATTCCTTAACGTTTCCAGTAGGACATAGGCCTTCAGACTACAGGGTTGAAGTTTCGGTAGCAATGGTGTTTATTTTTACGGGATGGGGTTGCTAACCTCATGCCCAACCTTCCCTCCTTACCAGTCTTAATACTGACTTAGCGAGGTAAAGGAGTGCGTTGGCCAGAGGTCAAACCCCGGACCACCTTCTGAGGTTGGCGAACATTCTCCTGCTGTGCCACAGACGCACTAAAGCAAAACAATAAACAGTTTGAATGAAGAAAATTCTTCTTGCTGAACTTGTTATTCCTTATATAACATTTATTTCAGGTGACAACATATTCTGTGAAGAATGTAAATTTATTTATATGTATCTTCAAAACTGGTTAAACGATAAACAACAAACTCAAGATGTAATGTTCACAGTTAAACAGATGTGTTTACTTTTTGCCGAAGATGAGACTAAGGTATGTTCATTAGATTAAATCATTTTAATACATACACTATAATAACACTTGTGAAGTGTAGCTAAAGCCTGGCGAAGCTCAAGTTTTGAGGAAGTAATTTGTTCTTATAAGGTAATTTATCAATATTTAAGTATTGCAAGATATGTAGAAAGAAATAGTCCCTTTATTAAATTTCGATAGGATGGTATTAGAAGGCGGAATTTATTTCAGTGTTTAGTGAAATACACTGAGGTGATAGCCCCTGACGATTTTTATAAATAATTCTGAAGGCTTTTTTGACATCACTCTTGTTATTCATATTTGCTAAGCGCTTTATAATATGACTGGTAGTCTGCTACCTGCATTTATTTAAGGTTTCACAGTCCAAGCCATTTGGGTATATGTTACGTCACCCTCAACGGGAAGACGCGATTACTCCTTCCTATGTATATTTAACCACTCACACACACACATGAAGATCGGTGTACAATATGGGAAATGACAAAATCACTTGTGTAACAATGATTTTTGTGGTAGAGCATGTTTTGTTCCATCAGAGTTTTTCAGTATGTATTAGACAGACTGCATAATAGGCTTTACAGATGACATAATTTAATCTCTCTCCTAAAATCCTACGGTTCATATCCGCATTGCAAGACAATTTGATGAAGATATCTTGCTTTTGACAGTGTAGACTTTGAAAAAAACCAATCTTTACACCAGTTCAAAAACTTTAAAGGATATCCATTTTCGATAAGTATATCCATCAATATTTTATTCCTATCATCTATAGCATCAGCTATTAGAGTACGCTGAATCCTCATCAAGTAAACACTGAGCCAAACCTCTTTTATATTATAATGGACAGGAACTGTAAAGACTTATATGCTACTCTATGCAAGTAGGCCTTCTATAAGTCGATTGCTTAATTGAGCCATCCCCTCTATGACTCAAAAGCATATCTACAGAATAAATAATCAATTACTATTTTACTACAGGAAATTATATCTTTTCATCTATCAATCTGGATTATGCACCGAGGGTAATGATGGTCTTGTGAAATCAATTCAAGTCAATATAAGTAGGCTTAGGTTTGCTTGTGTTAATACAGACGTATCCTAAATACCTAGTGACACTCAAGGTGAACATCAGCAATTTATTAAACAGTGATTTCTTACTCAAAATTATTAAAAGGAGTATCTTCAGTCTTAAAAAAAGATAATATCATACAGTGTATGCTTGTGTATCTTATTGACGTGTACTAAGTAAGGAGCCTAACTTACCAAACTACTGGCAGGTATCAACTAAAAATTTATCTATTGCTTTGAGTTGAATCAGGTTATTTGGTCCTTGTATTGCATTTTACGAAACTCAAAGACCCATCTGAAAACCACTCATCATTCTGGGCGTAACTGTTATTGCCCTATGAGAGTGAGAAAGATATAGTGAGTGACTGTGACTGACTGTCAAAACTTTCCATTGCATGAGAAGAACGTGACCTGCTGTGTACACAATCAATGTCCATAATACCTATAACGCTTTACTACAGAAAAGATATGAAATAAAGTTCATTAAAGCTTATAACTCTCAGTGGATGAATATTTTTAATACACTTTTTCCTGATTAATTTTCTATTGAATTCGTTAATATTATTATTCCTTTGGGTTCCGAGTGGAACAAATGGGCTTAAGAAGCACATCTCCATTTCACTCGGTTTTCTGCGACCTTTTTAGCTGTCTGAACGACTGTTCGTAAACTTTCATTTCCCCCTAACATGACCCCTTTCCATGTCCTCCTTAGGCCAAGACTGAACTCTCCGCTTCCCATCCAGGTTTCATTCAAGGGCTTGATGCCTGATGGCTCTCACATAATCTTCTACATATTCTTTTGCATGTTTGTCGGAAAATAGGTTCTTAGCTGATTTGTTACCAAAGTTATTTGCTGTTTGTTTCTTCCCACGAAACGTCTAATCTTCACTGTCAAGTTAGCAAAGGCAGCTGTTAACGAAATTCTTAAGTCTGTTGGAAAAGCTTCCGGTGACGTACTTCCCAATCTGTTGAACTGTATAGAAACACTGACTTGAAATTAGTGTAGAAAATTCGGATCTCGTTCCCTACACGAAGTGCAGTAGATTTCCACATTGACTTTAGACTAATAAAGGTCTGTCTTGCTTCTCAGGTTCTGGTTTTGACATCGTTATCCATGCCACCCGTAGCTGAAACGATGTTGCCAAGATAGGTGAATGAGATGACTTGTTGAAGAATTATATATATATATATATATATCGTATTGGCATATAGCCTATAATCTGGTACCAGTATTCACTTGTCGTGCAGTTTTACTATGTCTTACCTAAAAAGGCGGAAATCTGAAAGCACACTGCTATTCCAGTAATTATTAAGAAGTTTATTAGACGAAAATATGCAAATTATTATTCTGAGAACAGACAGAGATTTACATTTGTACAATCTAGGCTTATGAACAATTGGGATATTTTGATACTAAAGGAACTAGGTTATAAATTAGATAGATTTATTGCTTAATGTCATATGAATGTTTTAAATACCCAAAGTAATTCCTTTATTAGTGACGACAGATTATCAATGGTATGATTGTTTTAGAAAGATGATTTAATGAATTGAGTTTATCATATATATATATCGTCGGTATTCGTGTACCTTACCTGCTAATCATTTTCAATTATGCTTTCATTTTAATTTCAGTGTTATCACGTACTTAAAGGATATTATGAAAACTTTAGAGAATATTTTCAAAAAAACAGAGCAGATGAGATATGCGGTGTAAGTCAAACATGTTATTAGTTAAAAATATATGTTTTACTACTTAATTGTGTATAATGCAGTAGTGTTGTTCTATTTTCAAATGTTCTCCTATACTCTGATTCATCAGTAAGATTTCATTTGATAATAAGTAAACCTGACTGATAGAATTCAGTCTACAGCAAACACAGGACTAGACACATCACACTAGTTACTAGTGTCCAATCAAAAGTATCCAATGCAGTCCTATAGGAGGTCAGTCATGAGCCCGAATAGCTCAGTGGTAACGTCTCTGACTACAGTACTCACTGGGTGACGCGAGTTCGAATATCAGAAGGGACATAAGTTCCTCCAAGGTTGCAGATACGCCTTGCTGACGAGTGCCAGCTAGCACGAAACCTAGGTTCAAGGCTTCCTGCTGATTGCCTCTAACCATCTAATATCATCAAATCAATGTGCACCGTGATGGCGAGCTACCTAGAATGGTGGCCACATTGCAAACCTGACTGATAGAATTCAGTCTGCACTAAAGAAAGGACTAGACACATCACACGAGTTACTAGTGTCCAGTCAAAGACAATAAGTAATATTCTTAAAAATTAAACCTGTGATTCAGATGAAATCTCACTGCTAATCATGTAGTTAACGAGTTGAATAGCTGTCTCTCCGATATATGTTCCACCGAATAAAGCAACATAAAATGTTAAGCGTGGATCAAACTTGTGGAGAATAAGCCAGTAAAAGAATTATTTCATTTTTTAAAATCTTATTTCTTTACATTCCTAGTGGGATATAGGGCTTCAAGACAGAGCTTTGAGGTTTCGATAGCAGAGGTGTCACTTTTATGGGATTGGGTTGCTAGCCTCATGCCCAACCTTCCCGCTTTTATTGGCTTACTAACAGCTTAGCAATGTTTCGGAGTGCGTTTGCCGAGGATTGAACCCCTGACCACATACCTGGTGGGCGAGCGTTCTAGCCCTGAACCACTGATGAAAGAGAACTATGAGGCGAAATTTTGTTATTTAAAGAGAAGTATTTAATATGGACTAATGTTTCAGCATGAGATATGAGAATATGGATGAGATTTTGAATAATTGTTAGACTGTATGAACAGAATATTTATAAAAGCATTTGCAGCTAAAAATTATAGGGGTGCAAAATCTCTTAAATGACAGCATATACTACTTTGTTTCATATCATTCAAGTGGTAAAATTAAGCAGTATCGAAAGAGAAATAAGAATATGATAAAAGAGGGCATAGCAAGCGAATAAATTGTTAACGACTTCTCACAATTTCCGAAAGTAAGATACAAGACCCACTTCGGTTTTATTTCATCAGAATTGTTCACACATCAATAAAGGCATAAGGAACTGCTGAACATTCCTTCGATTAACCTTCACTGTATATTTAAGCGACTATGGAATACAGAAGTTCACTTTAAACTTCTAATGTCTCAGAAAGATTTATTCACCTTTTCTAAGACATTACCATGTCATGCTTTGAGCTAATCAAATATGAATGGAAAAAAACTCACTAAATGAAACATTTCTCAAATATTGATTTCAGAAACTCTGCATTTTTGCAAACTAACTGTTGAAAATTGATATATAAACAAGAAGTTTTTGTAAGTTATCAAAGTAATTCCGTTTTATTATTTCACTAACGCCTTTAATTTTAATTTTATTTACAATGTTAACAGTACAAAGGCGGTTGATCTATTTGATTAAGTGGGGATATCAAGAAGCTGTAAGCACCGCAACTAAATGTAGACATAAATGGGTTACGTATTACTTTAATTAGTGTGGTGGAAGTGTAAATTTCCATTGAGATAGTAAGGTTATCTAGACTGCTAGTAATAATGAAGTCCAGAAAAAGCCCAACTAACGTCAGGTCTTGTATACATATTGAAAATTATCCAGATGATGAAGAAATATTCTGCATGTACTCCTCGTCAAGCAATGTTAGCTGACATAGAATCAGATTAGAATACATTTAGAAGTGAAATCAGTCCATGAAGTATTTTGTTGCTAGTTTGAGCTCTGTGGGAAGGTGTAGATTGCTTGTTTTTGGTCCTTGAGACGTCACAAACCTGTTGGTGATATGACTCATAATCCTTCTCATTGGCGCAGATGCATTCACTGTTTGCAGCCTCTCAGATCCGTTAAAACTTAATTTTTCCCCATGTAATTATTCCATTTTCCCAACATATCGTTCCACTAGAGTTCTTTTCAGCATATTCTCTATTTTTTTTATTGTCTGCCATATGCAGAGTGGCAGTTTAAAATGCTGCACTCCTGTGCACAATCTTACATTGAAACTCAGTCAGTCAGGACATGGTATACAGATAAATAATTATGGAATATACATACTGGATCATAAGTATTATTAAAAAGACGGTTGCAGAGAAGAAAATTTTCTTTTCTACGAAGTCATCAGCTAGGCTATATATTTGTGTATTTATATTAAATGTGTGAGAAAATTTTAGAATAATTTCCGGTTAAGGGTTAAGGACATAGTGGTAAAGAAATGGGTAGGAGGTTCCGACATATAAAGATAAAAACAGTAACCAAATCTAATAATGCAGATAGGGATTTGAAAGGTAAATATAACAAATAAACGGGAAGGTTGGACAAGAAAGGTAATAGGATAATCATCATTGGTGAGACTGACTTTTAGTGATGGTCACGGTAGGGACAACGGTTGGGTAGAGTAGGCTTGATTTTTTGGATCGCTATTTCTAGATGTCTTTGGTAGGTTGGATCGGATCTTGTATATGCCTCTGAATGACTTTTCAAATGAAGCTGAATGTCCAGAATTCACCAGATGTTCTTTTATCGAACTGCATACCCCTTTGAGTTCTCCCATTGCGTTTATAATATTGATAATTGTGAACACTCAAGATTTTTAACCATATTTTGTTTGTTTTTCACAGGTTACTTTCATCGATGTAATTGATTTTCCATAAGAATTTCTACGTATTACTTATGAAAATAAAAGTAGTATAATTTGATTCAATAAAACTGTCTTTTGTGTTACACAATTACTGTACTTAGTAGAAGTATCACTTTCATTTCATCAAATCTCCTCTATAATAATTAAAGTAATTTAACAAATTAACTCAGTCTTTTTTCACTTATTTTAAATGAAGGCCTCCCTTGTAGGGCAATAGCATTAAATCTGGTGTAGAAACTGACCTTATCTTTTAATTAATTTTAGATTTTCCCGTCGATTGATTGGACCGAAGTGCTCGGTCTCAGGTTGACATGTCGGCTTCTTGTGCAAATGACCTTATCTTTCTTTATAAACATAGTGAAGTTTATTTGCTAAGAGAGAATGATTAGAATTAAGTCTTGAAAATAACAGGTGCATACCAGTAGGCTGTTTATTTTGATGACTCTGCATTTACAGTGCAGTCTGCGTCTTCAATAAACACTTCAGACAAAGTCTCTTTCACTTATAATTAATTACAAATAAACAAAAAAATTTTGTAAAGAAGCTATGGCCAAATTACCTATGCCATTACGAATAGTTATCGATACTTTACGAAAAGCCATGTGGAAAATTATATCCTCTGTATGATGTTTCATTTCATGAACATAGACTTTTAATCTCAAAGACTTATGTAACCACAGAGATTTACACTATCTTAACTGCAAGTATAACCTGTCACTCACGTGAGCATGTACAAATGAACAGTATGGTTTAAGAGTAATAGTTCTAGTGTATTCGATCGTTCTAACCAATATGACTAATACTGACGACTTTGCATAACAGTTTTAAAAGTATATTACTGAAGCCATCACTTTACGATAGAAATAATAAGTGCAGTCATTGTCTTTAGGTAAAAAATATTGAAATAAATGGTTCGAAGCCTATATTTGAAAGAATTCTGCATTGCGTGACCGTTTTTCTATCTAAATGTGTGGTTTCGTTTCAGTTAAATCTAACCCCTTGTGTGGTCATAGGGTATTATTATCTATTTCAAAGAATATCTAAATATCCAAATGGGTTACAAACAGCTTTTTAGGTATTTGGTTATTTCAAATGTAGACAACCAGCTGACTTAAACTTGGTTTCTTTCTTTGAAGCGATTATCTATTAAGAGACTAGGTGTGACTGATAGATTTCAGAATTGATTCCAACTGAAGACATACACTGTAATGTAACTGTACAAAATTACTAAAGTGCGAAAATCTGAATGCAGCTAGGTTTAAAACGAAACCGTTTTCCATAATTTATCTTAACAAAACAAGTTGTAGGTGTTTTAGGAAGCTTGAAAATTATGTAGCTAGTTACAGACATTCCTTCCGAGGGGCTATTGCCACAGTAGTACAAACATATTAGAAGCAATGGGCTAACACTTTACCTAATTCTGGACACCTCTGAACCTCCCTGTCATTTAGTTCTAAATGGCTAGCAGGATTATTTCAGTTTTAAGAAAGCTAACCTCTAAAAAATATCTTGGTGACGCCTTTCATTTCACTGGCTATGTCATTGTATTAAGTAGATACGACAAACGCTTGATATCACTTGGCATCTAAGTGTTTTTTCTAGAAGTACTTCATTTACAGGAATAATTTGTTTCCTTTCAGGTGCGTAGAAGATAATAACTTAAAGATTCAAATATCGGACTCATGACTGAAAGAACTATTGCTTAAACATACTCTGAATGTTCAGTTTACTTTTTTTAGTGTGCTTTCCAAAAACGTTAGGGAAATCTAACAATGTGATCACCCTAAGGTTCACTACTTGTAGACTGTTCAGTCTCAATCTGAAAAATAAACCACTCTAACAGATGAACGATGGTTTTCATCTTTATAAGACCTGTATGACTTTAGTCATATTCTAATGGTTTTAATTAGCTGCTATCTGTCCATCAGATCAGATCTTGAGATAAAATAGCACAAAATGTTCCCTTTATTACCGTATTATTGGTAAGAAACAGTCATAAAGCACCGCTGAAATCAATCCAAAAGACATCCAAGTGATTAGATGACAAACATTTTACGGCCTAGTTCTTGCAAACTTAGACCCATAATCGATCGAGTGTGGGATAGTACACAGCTAAGGTGTAGTCAGTGATGAGATTCTTTTGTTTTTCAAAGTAAACATGACCGATATTTGTATCCTTTACGCTTTCAAAGTCATCAGCATCCAAATCCTTCGTTTTTCTAAAGCCGTAAAAACTGTCATGGAAAAGGAAGATCTTTAGAGAGAAAAGAGGTAATCCCTCCACTTCTACTGTCTATGTCTTAAATGCGTGTTGAAGTTTCATATTTACTTCGTATTACTAGAGTCTACCTTACAGTCTTTTTCATATTAGATAAGCTTATCTGGTGCAGTACTAATAGCTAGATGACGTTTCGGGTCACAATTAATAATAATAATAATTTGGTTTATTCCAAAACAGTACTTGATTGATTGATTGATTTTTTTGATTTTTTACAGCTTGATTCCACACCGTATTTTCAGTACAAGTGTGGAATTTTCAGCATGGATATCGGTAGCCCAAATTCAGGCCGACCATAGATATCGGGTGTGCGTCGGCAGGGGATCGAACTCCGGACCATGTGCATGGTCGGCGAGAGTCCTAACCACTGTGCCACCGACGCACTTGTGATACAGAATGGAATTCTCAGCATTTTACTACAGTACTGCATTCAGTTAGCACATTATCAAAATACATAATACATAAATATATACAGCACATAAAATTCGACATAGATTAAGGAAATGTCAGTTCATTATGACAACAACATATTGCCATGTCGGTAGCAAAGCCAAAGTTGAACAGTGTTTGAAGGTGTTAGAAAAGTAGGTGCTGTCATATTTACTGGTGTAAGCGGAAGAAAGAAACAAAGCAGCACATAACGGAAAAAGAGAGAGAGAAAAGGAAAAGAAAGGAAGATATGTTGTACCTATAAATGATATGAGTTGGAAAGACGAGGTCCAGTTGTTCTACTGACTATTTAATGAATTATAGGTGTCACGCCTAATGCTTTCTTTATCGCACAGAACACGAGCTAAGTAGGGTATGGTTGATTTTTTGTACTTGCTGGTGCGAGCATATAGTTCTCTATATAGGCTTCTGGTTCTGCCTAATGGGATACAAGGGGAGAGTTGTGAGTGAAGAGGGTGGTGTGAGTTAGATAAAATGGATTCGGCCCATTTTTCACATAAGTCCATTTGCCTGTCAACCAGAGTATTAACAAGCTGGTTAAGTGGCACGTTGCTTACCCTGCTGACAACCTTTAACATCCTGTGTAATATGTTACAGTCTTTCTTCAGTAGCCTTGGAGAAACTAAGGGGGAACAATAGAGAATAATAGGCAGAATGCGAGAGTTAACGAATTGTAGGAGTAAGGATTGTGTTATACCAGAATGTCTTGACTGCTCGTAATTATATTAATGTACTCACACGGCTTCATAATTCGCTTTATGTAGTTTTTCCCTTCCCTTTGTTATTCATTGTAATTTTCCATATATCCAGGACATATGTTGCATCACATCGACTGCACGTGCTATGAATACATTGATATGATTATGAGCACTAAATTATGCCCAGAATGTCATCCAGTGGCTAATACTGTATTATATCAAATGAACTTATCTAATATGGAATTACATTCTACCTTAGTGCCTAAGTTCCACACGTACATTATTTAATGTCTTTTGTCAAGTTTATCACTTATGTGACATCTGATTACCATAATTGGTGCACCTTTCCCGTTCACCTCCAAATTTCCAAATATCTTAACCGATTATTCAGACTAATTATTCTTCATATGTTTTGGCTACACATTTGTGAAGTTTTCACTAATTGCAAACATCTTTTTTCAGTCTTAGTTATTTTGATTTTATGGGTAATAACTTAATATCTACATTAGTGAGTTAACAGACTTTATATACTCACCATAAATTTGTATATATATACCACCGTGTGACTAGAAGTGAATGAACTCCCCGAAAACAAAGACCCCTAGCCTAACTATATGCTTTTGCTTTTTTAAAATTCATTGAACCTGTTTAATGAATGTGACTGTCTGTAGTCCAATAGACATAGTGAAAATATAACGAATAATTATCAGATTCAGACTTTTGATGAAGGATAGGAGACTGTCAGTCTATATTAACCCTTTCCTATAGAGTAACCGTGTTTCTCTAGTTCTCTGTTGAAGAAGTCAGCTGAGTAGGCACATAACACTTTATCCTAGGAGTCAGTTCCAGGAGTAATTGATAGTGATGAAAGAATCTTTTATTTCACAATAGAAAGTGCTATTTAACATTGAGTATGATACAGTATCTCAGCGATCCCTAGTTCACAGTATGTAACTGAATATAGTACAATAATATCAAGAATTTTGAAAAAAAATTCAAGTATTGGTTTTGTAGGGATTTTGTTTGATTGGTTGGGGGATTTTCATCATAAGTTGACATCAGTTGGAGAACCATTGGAAAACCAGCTAGGAATACTGGACGGCTGTTTCGTCCTTATTTGGGACTCTTCATAGGTACGTACCCACGACAGGGTGGTTCGAACCCATTAAGCCAGTGGGTCCCAATACAGTGGCCAGTCCATGAACTTCAACTTCTGCCAGTTCAGTATATAGAGCAACCACTATCCAATGTCACCAACAAGTACCTGTCCTTCAAGCAATTTGATATCGATCACGTTACAAGTAGCACAAAGTAAATGTTTTCACATTTACACAAGAATACATATGGGGACAAAAATTATACAGTTCATAGTCTGACGAGATGACAAATCATATTGTTAATTCGATCCAAACAGAACACAGTAGTCGCAAGTTGTGATCAAGATTCAGGCTGGTAGGGAGGGCCGATTAAGATATGACATATATGGTAAGATAGAGGCTGAAGAATAGACCAAGAAACAAGATCATCTTGTTGGTAAATGTAATGGATAGTGAAAACTGTCATAAAAATGAACAGCGTTTAAGAATAGTAAGAAGTTGAGACAAATGATAAAATAGTAAGTAAAGAAACAACAAATCACCAAGGCAATTCAAGGTGGATCACAAAATTCTTCTGTACGTATAAATTAGGCTTCAATCTTAGGACTGATGCTGCTCCTGAATATCGTAGTAATCTACTAT